ACGACCGTAGAGAGTAAGCACCAGTCAGGCTAAGTGAGCCGAGGAATACTACACTTGCAATTAGTGTGATCGCCAAGGCCCCCCAACACCCAACACGGCTAGTGCCAAGCCCCCACGTACAGGAGCCCAGCAGCCAATCGCCCACCACCACCACAATCCCAACTGTAGAAGTCAAGACAGGGGGCGTAACCACCAGGGTCAAAGGCATCCCCACCCAAATCGGGCAAGGAAGTAGACCCCACAACCACCTGTAACAGCCACACGAACGGAAAACATCGTGGGAACCGGAGGAAACGACATCGTAGGATTCCGACCGAAGAATGTAGCTGACAGCCAGGTATTCCCATCAGGGGACCCGACCGTAAAAGTGTGATGCGATCGGTACGACAAGTTAAATACAGAGCGGTCATCAATCGACTCTGTAGGCGTTAGTGTCACTGGAAACAACGCGTGAAACAACCAAAGGGTGGGCCTTAGAACTCCAACACGAGGAATGGAGGTGCCCAATCCTCTCAGCTACAGGGTGATCCCCCCAGAACAACCACTCCCAACCAACTCAATGAACGCGAAATCCTGCAAGGTAACGAGTACAGGAAAGCCGAAACATTTTACCGAAGAGAAGACCCGTCAAGCAGAAAAGAAGGTTTCCAAGCCCATACAGCCTCACGATAGAGACAAGCAAAGGGAAGGCGAGACAGGTACCACAAACGAGCGAACACCAAACAATGACTCCACCAACATCAACTTCAACGAGCAGGACTACTAGGCGCACCCAGATAACTCCCCCACAAGTATCAGAAGAAAGGCTTCATCGTCGCCAAAGGGAACGAAGGTAAGGCTGTCCAAATTCAATCTAATTTTTTATTTATACTCGCGCGCGCCGAAACATGGCTTATGCTACGAGCGATCATCCTATCATACACCTACCATAAGGGCAGGCGGGCCTCCGGCGGACCACAAGCGGACCAGAACCGAACTCGAAAGTAACAGCCTGGGGCCGGGGTCCCCACAATATACCGGCGTGGGTAACAACAATATACAAGACCAAGAAACCTCCAAACCCAAACCGTCCAGACCCGTTAGTGACCCCGAAAGAACACCACAAGCCAACACCTCCGCGAGCGAGCAAACACGAAAGCTAGGTACAAGTTCATCAACAGCCCCGATCTCCCCCGCCCCAACCGACAAACCGACACCTAACCCAACAGAAACAGAGCGACCGAAGTCCATGGTCCTGCTAAGCGAGGGGAAGATAGTTACTGCCCGCGACCATCACAAAATAAAATAAATCAAAATACAAATCCGGTCTAAATACCGTCCCGTAAACCCAACAAAGTAAATCCCCCACAGTAGAGTATGCCCACGCCACAGAGCCAACCGCCCATCAAGGGGAAACATCGGGTGCGGCATCACACCAACCCGTAACAACCCGATCGGGTCCCCAGCCACCAGGGAGGAGTCCCACACTTGCAATGGGTGTGACCGCCAACCCCAGCCACAGCCAGGTCACCAACTGGGCCGGCACACATCAGCCCCCACCAGGGGAGCCGAGAGCCAACCACCCTACACCACCCCAAATAAATCAGGATGGGGGGACAAATCTCAGGGTCAAGGCCATCCCCACCACACGCGCGGGCGGGGAGGAGACCCAAAAGACACTGTAAATGCAAGTGACCGGACTATTATCGCGAGATACGGGCGGACGAGGAACGACGCGTAGACGACATGCGACCAGGCAGTTCGAACCTGAAGATGTAAAACCAAGGAGCCGCAGCCCTCAGCCAACGGAAGAGAAAGAATGTCAGCGAAAGCGAACTCAAGCTATCCAGTCTCAGACCTGAGACCCGTAGGAACCAGGGACGCAACCCCCCTAAACTGACGAAACGAACGCGAAATCCTGCCAGGAAACGAAAACAGGAAAGCGGAAACTGTTTTACCGAAAAGAAGGTCCAACTGTAAAGCGCTGATCAAAACCACCAAAGAAGCCAGAGTAATTCCCGTGGGAAGCTCTTAGCCAAAGAAGGCTCCCAGGCCCGCGGGCGAGGAAGAAAGGGTGTCCAAAGGAGATTACCAGATTGCGTGAATAAAGTCAAATATAAAGGGGCACACCCCTTTATATATTAAGAAAATCCTCCAGGATCACTAATACAAAAGAAAGTCCTTGGCATCACGTGCAGCCACGATCCATCTGCCCCGTTCCGCTATCTTCCATTGCGCGGCAACCCGTCCTAACCAATTATACAAAGGAAATCCAACTACGTAACCAAGGAAACTACAACCAATACTTGCACCCAAAGTCCCATGCATATTCCCTCTCCATAGCCGGGTGGCCGTGACATTGGGGGGTTTGTAAATTTGATGAAATGCCCAGAGATATACTCATAATCTAGTGATTCATCTGTCCAGCCCTTAACAGAATAGGCTAATAATATATTAGGATTATTAAGGCTTGAGTACCACTCCATAGAATGACCCCCTTTTGCCTTGAAAATTCAAAATGATGACTGGCTACTACCATCTGTACAGATTGTTTCCAAATCTGTAATCAACTCTCATTTTCCATTGCCCATAACCCATGGGTTTCTCCTTCCAACTCTTGTCACTACCCCTGTTTTTGCTGATATCCCCATCATAAACCCCTTTTCATCAATATTATAAATCTCTTCAGGCTGAAGATCATGTGCAATTCGAAGGCAGTTAAATTTGCAAAAATAGTCCCTGATCTTAACCAGATCATTTGCATATACCCGCTGCTACTCCAAGTTTCTACTATATCATACAGCTATATCTTTATGACAATTTAAAAACCAACATAACCAGTATCGTCCAACTGCAGAGTCCACCTGCTCCTTCTTCTTTTTTCCTACTAGCATTCATGCCATGTCCTTCACCATTTCTAATCATGGAGGAAAGCCCTATTCATCTAGTTTTTTGATCCATTCTACAATGGCTTACTCCTCTGCTGGAGTCAGCAGTTGTTGCTCCTGGTGGGCACTCTACTGGGAAACTCATTCACCCTTGATCCAATAGGCAAGTGTAGATTTTAGAATGTCAAATGCCTGTGCCGTAGCTGTGATTGATGGGTAGTTGCCCTTTCGGAATGCCTGAATTGCTTTAGCAATTCTCTTTTCAATGAGGTCTTCCTTTCTTGCTTTCACGCATTCCATTGCTGTGCTGTTTGATGTTTTGTCTTTTCAATCTCGTCCTTTCCTCATTGTTTATATACACTTTTCGCCCCCCGCGGCGCACGTCCCGCTTCCCCATTTCGGCCCGCTTCCCCCTTGGGTACGTTATTACCTGATCACTTCCGGAATCTCTGGACCAATTATGATAATGAGTGCTTTTCCCTACGCGCATGCCTCATCAACGTCGTAACCGAGCCTCACCTGGACCAAGGCGACCTTGACCGGACAATGAGTGCGCCATTGGGACAGTTTGAAGGGGCTGGGTTTTGTGTATTCGATTTGGAACGGTGTCTTCACTTTCCCGCGGGTTCGATCGCTGGCATTCGCGGTTGCAAGCTAATCCACTTTACAAGGCTCTGGACTGGTTCCCGACTCTGCTTGGTTTCGACTATGCATAGGTCCCTGCTGCAGTATGTTTTCGGGAGTCAGAAAGAGGCAGGTGCCAGTAGGGGGCAGACGCGCAAGCGGAAGCGAGATTCCGTGAATGTTGCTTCTCTCCCTGATCTCCGGAACGAGGGTTCCGATTCTGAATCTTGTCTGAGGAATTAGCATGCTCAGAACCTGCCTGACATGCACGCATAACTTCCTTTCACCCCATGTTCGTCACCGTGTGTTGTCGTTCGACCCTTTGTTGTTCGTCGGTCCATTCGTTTCGCTGGAAGGTTGAGGAAGGAAAGCAGACAGGTTCTACGGAACCTTTGGGCGGTGCTGTGCGGGAGCCACATGGTAGTGGAACCGGGAGAGTCTGGGGGACTGCAGGAGTCTTTGTGGTGTTTCCATTGTGCTTTATTGTTAGCAATGAAGCGTGCGCAGGAAATAGACTTTCTGTGGAGGAGCAGGAGCAAGAGCTGGAGTCTTTGTATTTCCTCTATCTCTTTCGTTAGCTTGAGAACACGTGAGGAACGGGGAACCTGCAGGGAAGCTGGGGGAGCAAAATGGATACATGTGGTGATCGTAGGGAGGATAGGAGGGTGCAGTTTAGTTGAGCGATGTGGTTGTTCGTGCGAACGAGAGAAGTTGTGGTTGTGAAAAAGCAAACTTCAAAGTCTGGATGTAGAAGCGTTGGGGAGGGGGTCACCGTACGATATATTGATTTTCATGCTATTGGACCGAATCCTTCCCACTCCCTGCAAGTCATGTCACTCCCCCTCTCAGCCTCCGACAGCCGAATCTCACTTGGAAACATACTCCCAACATCAATCCCAAACCCTTATCTTTCTTTCTCTGGTTCACTCCAGTCTCTCTGTGCTACCCTCCTTGGGCAGTTTACCTCCGGGTATTACAATATCAGCGACAAAGGTTGTGGGGAAATTAGTTGAGGTTAACTACTCGAGTAGTCTGCTACAGCCCTATCTCGTGCTGTTAATTGGTCAAGGTTAAATACACGCAGGCCCTGTTTCATATTGGCTGACCTATACGTATCATACCATACCCATTTCACATGTAGATATGGGTATTCGCTTACTCTAGCTGGCTCCATAACCTCTAGCGTGTTTGACGACAATGGTAAGAACTGTTTTAATATATGTATATATACTCTGAAGCCATCTTAGCACCTTTAAATACTGCTCAAAGTATGTGTTCCAATACTCAACCTATAGTTGCATTGCGCTACGAGTTTCGCTGCACTTCGATTTGCAAGTATTCTACATGCTCAATCCCACGTCACAGGCAATTATCCTGCCTCCCTGATTTCCTTTGATCCTATCTGCACCCTAGCAGATACCCTTGTGATTTACAAAAGAATTTCCTACCCCTATGAGGCGAGGCTGTGGCCCTGACGGTACCCGACGTCAGTCTGGAATGTCAGCCTTCCTACGCTGATGTCCACCAGAACAAAAGATCAATCAGTGCGGAAACCAACGATACATCCAACGTATCCCGAGCCTCCATAAAGCCAAACATGCCATCTGCAATCCGCCGTCGACCCTCGTGCATGTCACCCTCCTGAATGCTAATATTGTTATACTCGGTGAGGTTGGTGGGAAGGCTCGGAGTACCAAGCCCCTCCCCCGTCTTATCCATCTCACAGGCCCAGCTCTCCCGGTATTTGGTCAATGCCCTGTTTCTCAATTTTTCCCGCCACCAGCGTACGCGCTCATAAAGTGGGTTATAAGATCTCCGTTAGACAATGGGTGATTTCCTAAGACTTCCATACCGACACTGCAAGGTAGACAGGTAATCGGTCCTCACCTTCTCATAATCCCTCAATGTTTTATCACCCTCTAGTTGCTTTAGAATATTGTCTGGGAGAGTCTGTGGCGCTGTCCTATCATGTCGGCAACCAGCCCGCAGAAGCTGTGATGTCATTTCATCGCGCGGCTCACGCCCAAGTACAATGGACTGGGTGTCTACCGGATTTAAGGCGTAAAACATTTCAAATGTTCCTGTCTTTCGATGACCCATCACCCGGAGGTGATCGGACTGCGATACCTTGCCTAATATACACTATGTTAGGTTAGGATCTGGCAATATCTCGGGCGGGCATACCTTTAACTGCGCCTCCAGCTGCCCTGCGTATCGACCCAAACGTGAGGCTACCCAGGAAGCCACTACGACGGGTGAGGCCGTTAAGGTCCCGACGTACAGTGCTGTATGTCAATGCCCTCTTGTACCCTACCCTTCCCCCACCCTCGCATTGCCGGAGAACTGGAATTCCTGCAACTGACCCTTTCTATTTACATGTTCTGCACAAGCCCACCTGGCTGCGTTGCATCTCCACCAGCCCCTCTAGTGTTAGGCCATCATCAAAGGCATCATCTGTGAATGCGAGCGCAAGGAAGAGTATTAGGGGATCTAACCCATGTCCAAAGTCAAACGTGGTCTGATGAAGTATGGCCGGAGTGCTAATTCAGTCAGACACCAAATGCAGAAACTTGAGGGGGGGTACATGAGATGTGTACACAGTGCGCTCCCGCCTTTCATCTCCTTTAGTATGAATTCTTTGGATATTTAGGAACAACCCGGCCAGTGAATCCTTTCGTGCAGCAATTAGGCCAACGTGGCAGTGCTATGTTTTCAAGTTCGCATCAGCTCAGTCTGGCAGGCGCACTTCGGAACTGCTTACATACCTTATATAACAGAGAGCTATTAGTACCTAGACGGGTTCGTGATTCAACTATAGCTCCAATTCAGTCCGCGGTATACGAGGTTAACAACACACAAAAATGCTAGTTGTATTCAGTAATGCTCGTCGGCGAATACTTTCTGATCCCGGCCCCACAGAAACCAAAGTATTTCCTTAATATCGGATATTGGGAGATTACTTTTTGGCCTTCTGACAGTGGTGAGGTAAAGCTCGGGTGCCCCAGAAGGAGCGATATTACCCTTTATGAACTTGAGTAGAGCTTTAGCAACAGTGGGCCTGGTCAAGGGATAGAAGTATACATCATTAATCTCCCAGCATACGGGCTCTGAGAATTCCTCATTCATTATCCAGTATAATCCACAGCATAGCCGCCTCCAGTATGCTTGCACTACGCACTATGTCGGGGTATTACCCAGGTGGCCATGACCTAGGGAGATGTATCGAATCCAATTCTTGATCTCATGTACAGGTGGAAGAGTATTAGTGGGTATGCGTCCAAGGTGATTCTGGTTGAATCTAGCACAGTACAATATTAGCAGGATCAATGACTCTAGCTGGAGAAGGGCCTACCTCCACCACAAGCCAACCGCGTCGTTATAGAAACATTCGGTTGATTTAGAAACTCTAGGATGAAATGGAACATCTGGCTCACTGCCGATGTTCAAGTCCCACCCTAACCTCTGAGCATTCTCGAGTCTCCGGTCGTGAGCTGTTGTCATATCCCTGCTTGATGGGGTTGGCATTCACTTTGTGTATGCCAATACCACACGCGTTTTCAGGGAAAGGCGATTTAGTCCCTTTTACACTTGGTTCAAGGTAGCAGTCATGTGATGTGTGGCTTGTGCTCATATACGGTACCTATCTTCAAGGAATCCAGGTCCAAGCACTCCAGAATCTCCTGATTGGTAACTACAGCAAACTGCAGTACCGGCAAACGCCCGGAAAGCGCAAAGGATATCTTTCGGGACTGCAAAGGTGGAAATCCTGATCAAGGTATAAGCGACGTCACACAAGGACGTGCATCACAGAATCTCCGCCGAGGCACTCATGTGTGTAAACCATCTAATATACCATAGGATCTCGTAGACCGGTTAACGGAGTCACGAAGTAGACTTCACGAGCTCCTACGGTACTCGAGTATCATGCTTTTGCGAAATGGCCTTCCGGATACCTGTGTTAAGTCCGTGGATTCATCTGGGTACAGTTCATGCCAACTCCGCTTAGGACAATGGTGATTACCTGGTACGGATGGGCCCGTGGGCTTGGTGTCACTCGATTTGCTGGGTTAACCTGCCTGCTGGCTTACAGCCGTTGACCCGACCTTTTCTATTGGAGGCTATGAGTAGTGGGTCGCTTGCATACGCGTCCAAGTGCCCAAAGGGTGTTTAGAAACACATTGTACTAGTACAAGGGTCAACTTACCTGTGGCAGCGGGCTCCCGGTATTCCACATTGGCTGCAATGTACAAGTAGGAATGCAGTGCAGGTACGAGTATTAATTAGTGTTCCTGCTGTGGATTCGTCTCCAGATCGCTGAATCCCCAATCGGGCGATCCGGGATTCCTGAGCTCCCTGCCAGGCAGATGGTCGATAGGAGTGTCCAGCTCGAATCTACACCCCTCGCGCCTATCAGGTGTGAGGTATGATCCGTTTTTGGGATGACCAGCATTTGGATACTCCCCGAAGGAGTTGCATCCTAGCTGGGAAATCCTGGGAATATTAAAAGGCGGTTACCCTGCCCACTCTGGGATGACGAGCTATTACTCTTTGCTGATTGTGGGCTTCTGAACCTTGAGCCTAAATTACCTCGCAGACAACCAGTCCACACAGGGACCATATTCAGTACATGTCAAGTAGGGAGCCCGATGGACATGGCCCTTCTGACCAGACTCGTCATCTATTATGCGGGCATCTCCTGGGACCCTTTACAGATGTTATCTGTATTTTTGCCTCCGATGTTGGTGGACTATGAGGTATGGTTAGGGCTCTATCTTACTAGAGCGGGCTGTTAGAGATGGGCTCATGGTTTCCGGAGATTGTTGTGATCGGAGGGTAGCCTATGAATACATCACCGAGTCCGGTTGTAGATACTGTAGAAACCCAACTACGGTACTCTGTAGAGATTGTTG